CACCGTTCACTTTTCAACAAGGCGGAAGTCATGTTATCGACCCTGGATAGCTGATGGGCTGAGTTAAATCCCGGCCAGGACAAACTTCCAAGTGCGAGCCATTGACTCGATTACCACTGAGCCACCTGGCAATATGTACATCGCCACCCATCCCATGTAGAGTGCATGGCAGGAGTACGCGCTACGTACGATAGGTGGGACAGGGGGAAAAAGTGCTGCCAGCGGCGTTCACGCCGTAGCTAATCCTCGCCGTCCCCCCTAGTGCACCGCATCTTCGCGAGCACACTCCAGCGGAGGGAATCTCAACGTAAGTTTTCGTGACACAAAATCAACTCGTGAGTAGATTTCAGCAATAGTTTTTGTTGTTGTCCTTCCCCCGCACCCCCTATTGGCACGGCTGGCTACGTGCGATGCGAAAGAAGTTCAACATACACAGGTACATTTCAGGCTGGCGCTAACTTCCTCTCTGTTTGGGTTAGGCAGAGATACGATGCATCGAGGTGGCTGTTTAACTGTGGGGTGGTGTATGAAGGTAAAGGCGCAGGCCTGAATTTACTTGCTCATGCCAACTTACAACCCTTTCACCGCAACATTTGCGCCAGGGCCTATTGTTAACACTGACCACAGGGCATTAGCATGTATTCATGCAAGACTACGGCATGGTGCTATACAGGGCACACAACAACTACAACAGTCACAACGCTGGACTAAACCGATCTGAAGTTCCAATTCTTATTTTACAACTGGTCATTCGTAGAATTAACACTTTCCAAAGTTAGCTCAACATTGACCATTGCGGTCACTATCATTAATCGTTAAAACGGGCCTTAGACGCTCTATCTGGATGTAGTCTCAAAGGGCTCTCATCCGCTTTTAACAAAAGGACCTGAATGTGTATTGTCGATGTATTTACAAGCGACATATCTACGTGTCTGTCTCGCCCGTGCGCGTGCGTTGTGCCGCTTATAAACGACGCCTGGAGCTGCCTCCCTTAGGACTACCACCTGAGCTTTACCGGCCGCAGTGAAGTGGGTGGTTTACCTTTCATTGGCGCTTTCAAGATTAATATCGACGTCATCACGGCCAAGGTCGATGGTGCCACCGAACATCCTCGCCAACGAGTTCTGCCCTCCGCCAGATCCCTGAGCCGCTGCGGGGCAATAAACAACCACAGTGACCTCCAAGTTGTGCCCTCAATGTAGCCCTCCGATTTGCACGGGTCGGCTACGTACGGTGCGAACGAAGTTCAACAAGCATGCATATTGTAGTGTAATAGCGCGGCCTGTTGTCCAGCAACGGCAACTGCGGTGGACGAGAAGTACGCACGCCGGTGAGCACTTACACGGGTGTGTCGGCAGGGCGGAGGGACTGGGGTCAAGGGTCACAGAGACCCTGCCTGGAAGCCCCTGGAACCCGCTAGTGGGTTCGAGAAGGGAGGCGCGGCCAGGGCGGAGCCAGGCCGCGCCGAGTAGGATAAAAGCAGCGGAGAGCTCGTGGCTGCTGGTTCTAGGAAGTGGACTCGTCTCGTCGTCACCGTCATCTTCGCCGCCTTAGTCGCTGCCGTCTTCACTCGATAATTGCGCGGCCGGATAGTTGTTGGCTGTCTCGGTCGACGGCGACAGTGTAACACCGTCAGGGTCGTGTGTAGGCTAGGCTATTCGACTTGGGAGATGCGAGGGCGAACCTGTGAACCTGAGGGTGTCAAATAAAGAAAGTGCCTCAAGAATCCTGTTGACACTACACATACATCCCGCCATCTACAGTAGCGGCTCTTAGGTCTTAGAACCTATTGGGTAAGGCTACGTTGTCGTCACTAAGGTCACGAAAATTGTGAAGTTAAACGAAGTCGGTGCACATGTTTTAAAGAGCTGCGGAAATGCAGTTACTTGGGCGCTTCCCCTGTTTCCTTTCAGGAACGTCGCAAGTAACCAGCTGAAAACCCATATCGGTATGTGGGGGCATTGCCCCCACCGAATTATTCGCTGACTTTTACACAAATATTTTTTTAACGTTTGTTTTCTATTTCAGTAGGAGCCCGGCACAGAGCAAAAACCGCGATTATCCGCGAATTATTAACCGGGAATTTTGTTTCAAATGACCGTGCCAAAATCGTAGTCTTTCAGGCGGGCTCCCCACTCACTCGTGTGGGGAGTTCTCTCTAAACACCAGAGATGCCCACGCACATCAGCAGGCTCATGATTACGGAATTGATCGCAACAGCGGGGAACTTGGCCGTTGCGTTGGACAGCAACACACACGCATTCGACAAAAACCGATATTCGCCGTTCCACCGTTTTCGTGAGAGCCTGTCTTGATGAGGCAGTTGCAAGAATTTAGTGAATGCACAGCGCCACCTCGTGGCTTGCTCCAGGACTAAACGAATTACTTTGTGAAGCTGCGTCGGCAGGTTGTGTTGCACAAGCGATGTACAACAGTAACAAAAAAAACTCGACACGGTCGTCAATAACACCGTTGCATTAGAGGTAAAAAATATATATAATAGGCGACGTTGCAAGCAATTACCCTTAATTGCATAGGGGACTGTTCCATGGTTTGTAGGATTGTACAGTGCCGTACAGGACTTGTTTTTTGGAAACTGCAGTATTTGGAAATTGTTATCTCTGGGCCGCACCCGCCGCCTCACCCACGCAGCTTCTGGCTTCTCACAAGCAGATAAAACTCAAAACATCAAACAGATGGCAGCGTTTCATAACACAGGACTCAATGCACTATTTAGCGTGAAGACTGCGAATGTGCCTGAATCTCAATTTAAAAACAAAAAACTCTAACTCAACACAAGTGCAGTCTCCAATCCTTGTGAACTCTATCCCTCTGGACTCTTGGACTCTCTGTGTACGCGTTACTAAGAAAGGCCACTGCCCGAAACGTTATACAGTTTTACTTTTAAGGCCAGTTTTGAATAACGTTTAATATCAACACTCGTATAATGTACGCGCACAGCACTTTGTGATTCACAATATGTATTTATGCTGGAGGAATATTTATTTATACTGGAGGAATATTTATTTATACTGGAGGAATCCACTGCTGGATGAGAGCCTCCCCACGCCGTGCAGTTTGACCAAACTTCACCAACACCGGCCATGAGTGGACCTTGGTAAAGGTGGAATGTAGACCCAGGGAATGCTTCGGGAATCGCGCGCCACTGATGTAAGTCGTGCGCGAGAGTCCAATGAACGCGGTGTTCTTCATTGCAAGGCCCCGCGGGGCCACTGGCGGTCCCCTGGTGGCCTTTAGTGCGGCCCCTGACGTGCGCCCCCCCCCCCCCCGATAATACACAAATGGTCTTCATGGTGGTACCCCAGGGTACCAAATAATAAAAAATGGCCGAGGCAATGAAATATTTTATTTGTGGGACACTATTTTTCCCAGGACGTGTTACTTAACTCCGCGACTGGGCTACCAATCAATCCGACATCAGTGCCACACTCCGCGATGTCGAAACGCAGCGAGGACGATTGTGCCAAAACCCTGAACGCTCGCACGCACCGTAGCGGTGGTGCATCGTGGGTACAGCTCGTCGAGATGAGTCGATTGGCGCGTCGCCGACCATCAACAGACTCAAAATGACTGCATCACGAACATTATTGCTGGGTACCGCCATAAGGTTCAAATAGTGACAACACCCCGATCATCATCATTATCATCATCGTGCTGTCAAACGCGCAATGGTTTGTGAAGAACATTGAATCAATGTCTCAATTAATTCACAACCTCTCTCACCCCCCCCCCCCCCAACATTATCATGCCATGTTGGGCGATACGTACAAATGTAAGCGTTTAACTTCGGCTCTCACAAATAGGCACGATGCACAGAGCATCCATTATGCGTCTTATAGGTGTGCCGGTCACGGTGGGGGCATTGACCATACTTCACCAGGCCCGGTCAGTGCGGGTTAGTGAAGGGAAAACATCATGTTTCGCCTATCTATATATATATGTACCACCGTGTGTTGATCTTCTTTCCCACCGTACGCAGGTCGACACGGCACTCGAGCTTCTTGAATTCGCCCTGTCAGGGGGCACCCACCGAGGAGACGGAGCGATTGTTAAATCAGCTCACGTGCAGGTGCCGGATGAATGATTGTGATGTCAACTTGAGGAACCCTTCATCCAGCAGTGAATTGATCGTGGCTGACGACGAAAACGGAACATGGTGAAATATATTGCAGTGTACACAAGCGCCCTGACCGCTTTCATCCGGCACTGGCACGAAGGGCCGTACAAATGCAACTCCTGTCCCGTATGTTTTTTTGTTTATCTCGATATAAGAACATAAATCTGACCATTAGCCAGTACAGTACCGCGAATCGTGGCCCCGTTATTTATTCCTGTAAATAAATATTTGGTTAATTCCCAATTATTCTCACCACCGCCGTTTCGACGAGGCCACACGGCCGCTCGACTCGCGCTTGCAAAACTTAACACGTCAACAACTTGCAGCAATTTCACCATCGTGAGTCACGCTCTATCCAATGCTCGATGAAGGCATGCCCCTCTCGGTCCCGCGATGCCACACTTAAGCTATCTAATCTCACTCCTGCACGTGAAGTTAACTAATCGTGGGAGTCGTGTGTCGCTCGCTATGCGTTCCCTCCTTTGGCTGACAGCCCGCCATCACCAGTCTGACCCATCGGCCAGCCACCCCTTCTAGTGCTGTCTCCTGCCAATTAAGCCCACTTGATAGGGGGATGTTAACTACTTCGCCTGGTGTACAGGCTGTCGTGGGTTTCATCTCGGCCCTGACACCTGTTTATTTGGAGTTGGCGTGTCTCTCTCCCAGTGGTGGCGTTGATTTTTCTCGGGGTCCTCAAGTTTTCTCCCTCTACACTTAGAATCAACAACACGTGTTTAGAGAGCATTTGACTGCTATACATTTACACACGATGAACCACTTCGTTGATCTTTCATTTATGGCCGGGTCGCTTCTCAATAAGAACTATACGGCTCAGTGGGCCTTACCTGGTAATATTAAAAAAACGAATTTAGTTTTGTTTTAAAAAAGAACAGTTTATACGGTAAAGGTGCAGCGAAGAGATGTTTCTCTCTCCCAAGCGCTGGCGGAAGGGACTGGCACTCGAGGCAGCTGCAGTGTTTGCTCCAATCTTCTGATAAACACGCGCAAACACTGTGGGCCCATTTACATTGCATTGCTGGCTGGCAGTGTAAGAAAGCTGAGTCGTTGTTTAATTCTCATCGCTGAGAGATCGAATTGAACCGGTGAGTTCTCTGCGTCTAACCTGAACACCTCTTGCATTAACAGTTTATAATGTATCACCATTTCGTTGGGTTTTACCGTCCTCCAAGTTTCAAGTTGTCCGTATTCTTTACGCAACGCGTCCGACATTTCTATTCATCGACATGTCGACGAATCGATGCATCATCCCCCACCCACGCCTTCGAATAAGCGGCGACGACGTTCGTGGCCACATTTTCCCCCAACCCCCGGGGTACTTGCAGATGTACATATTTGAGGCTGAGTCGACTTAGACTAAGGCGCATGCCAGGCCAAGGGCGATGTCCCAACACGACAGGCCAAATTGCCAAATCGTTTCCGTGAAGCGTATCTTCGCCCCTTCCTGATACAGAAGCCACTCACTGACCACCTCCCACTCACACAAAGAACCACCACCACCGACCACCCATCTCCGAACGGCTAACGAGCTGGTCGTCGAGTAAGCGTGAGTGTCTTGCGTGCGCGCACAATCACGACCAATCAATATTCGAACCGGTGCTGGGCATCCCCTAGGTCGACTCAGCCTTAAATGAGTAAGTGTGCGATCCTGGTACGGTTTAGTAGACATCAGCGTTGGGGAGACAAAGGAGGCCTGGCGTGGTGCTGGCAACACCCATCCCATTGTGTGCCCTGCCGGCCTTCATAGGCGCTCGCTAACCCTGTTGTTGTCCTGTTGTTGTTGTTGTTTTGCATCGATTGCTTACTGGATTGGGGGGTGTGCCAGCCAAGGCATGGGACGGGTCTGATGGAGCAGTGGTTCTCAACCGGGGGCATTGTTCCAGGTGGTACGTGAGGCGATTTACAAATGCGTCAAATTATATAATCTGCAATGAGAGTGGCATTGGTGAATAATCGCGTATGAATCCGCCAATATGAAATAACGATGATAACATTTTAATCCTTATGGTAACCTGTAAAGATGTAAAATACATTTCTATAAACTCATTGATCGTTAACGATGTTGGTTTCCAAGAGCAACCAGCGGCACGTATGCAGAGAGTCTGTTGATTATTTTTTGGTGTTCGCTTGCTTAAACCATAGATGTTCACTATTCGTGCATTCATTTCTCAGAAACCGTGTTGGGTCAAGCAAGGGAGTACTCATTTGAGGCTAATTTCAACAGGGGGCGGTGTACAGTAGCCAAACAATGATAAGAACCACTGCCTGAACATAATTAGAACCATTGCCTGAGCATATATAGAGCGTACTGTACTTGGAATTGAATTTGCACAGTGGTCAAGGCGCAGCCCTGCAATAATTAGCTCACGCCACTGCTGGAGGAAGGACCTCCGCTCGAGGGAGCTCAATGTCAAGAGGATAAACTGGTGCGTGGAAAACGATTCCATGCACACGTCTTGAGTGTAGTCACAGTACGAGTGACCGGTCGGATAGTCGCTCATGGTTACGATCATCATGAGTGATCGCACGTGCATGGGATAGGGTCAGTGAAGGGCTAATATCAGTGGCTTGATGACGAGTTAATGTTAGGGTCAGCGAGAGGGCTACGGTAATTGGAAGGGCTAGTGCTAGTTAGTGGTTGACTAGGTAGGATGTGGGTCATTGGAAGGGCTAGTACTAGTGGCTGGTTGACTAGGTATGTTGTGGGTCATTGGAAGGGTTAGTACTAGTGGCTTAGTGGCTGGTTGACTAGGTAGGATGTGGGTCATTGGAAGGGCTAGTACTAGTGGCTGGTTGACTAGTTAGGATGTGTGTAATTGGAAGGGTTATTACTAGTGGCTGGTTGACTAGTTAGGATGTGGGTCATTGGAAGGGCTCGTACTAGTGGCTGGTTGACTAGGTAGGATGTGGGTAATTGGAAGGGCTAGTACTAGTGGCTGGTTGACTAGGTAGGATTTGGGTCATGGGAAGGGTTAGTACTAGTGGCTGGTTGACTAGGTAGGGTTTGGGTCATTGGGAGGGTTAGTACTAGTGACTGGTTGACGAGTTAGGATGTGGGTCATTGGAAGGGCTCGTACTAGTGGCTGGTGTACTAGTTAGGATGTGGGTCATTGGAAGGGCTAGTACTAGTGGCTGGTTGACTAGGTAGGATGTGGGTCATTGTTAAGGGCTAGTACTAGTGGCTGGTTGACTAGGTAGGATGTGGGTAATTGGAAGGGCCCGTACTAGTGGCTGATTGACTAGGTAGGATGTGGGTCATTGGAAGGGTAAGTACTAGTGACTAGTTGACTAGCTAGGGTTTGGGTCATTGGGAGGGTTAGTACTAGTGGCTGGTTGACTAGTTAGGATGTGGGTCATTGGAAGGGTTAGTACTAGTGACTGGTTGACTAGGTAGGGTTTGGGTCATTGGAAGGGCTAGTACTAGTGGTTGTTCACTAGTTAGGGGCTGGATCATTGGAAGGGCTAGTACTAGTGGTTGTTCACTAGTTAGGGGTTGGATCATTGGAAGGGCTAGTACTAGTGGCTGGTTGACTAGTTCGGAAATGGGGTCAGTGAGAGGGCTGGTACTGGTGGCTGGTTGGTCAAGTTTTGGCCAAGTGTTTGCCTTTGATAGCTCGCCCCGCTCGCCAATTCTCCGACGTTAAAAGACGGTGGGGTCTTATCCACGTCAACTACACAGGCGGACTGAGAGATCCCAGCGTGTCGCCGGCGTTTAGACGACGCGTGACCACCATCACCACACCGAGCGCGCTATAGCCACGTGGCCACTGGCAAGGAAAGCCCCCCCCAACCCGCAAAGGTCGAAAGTGCAAGTCTCCTACGAGAATTCACTCGAATCGCTCTGGCCACTCTTTCTCTCTCCCCTATGCAGAAGGGTCATTGCCCGAAACGTCGCCTATTTTATGTTTTTGTTGCAATTTAGAGCAGTGGTGTTGTCGACGGTTGCCTTGTGGAGGGGTTTTGTGTCTGATTTTTTTGTGCAACACTGCCATCGCTGCAGCGGTAGCAGCAGGAGCGCGAACCACGAACGATATTTGTGTATAATTGCTATTCACTCGTGGCGTGCCGCCACAACCACAAATCATCGGCCCCGATCAATCCGCTTTCACAAACGTACGTACATACACACCTATGTACACACACAAGTGCACACAGAATATAGACCCCCGTCGTATAGCCATTAATTTACTGTTATCGGGCAATTGCTGTTGACCTAGGGGGAGTCCCACAACCGGTTCAGATATTTGCCACTGTTATGTTGTCGTGAGCGGGAATTGAACGAGGGCTGTTTCGGGTTTGCGGCGTGGTGGGTTAGCCCCTACCCTACCGCTCACGAACAAAGACACACACGTACACACGCGTGAACAGACACACCTAAGCGTACACACACACACCTAAACGTACACACACAACAATCGCCATTCGCGGTGACGTCACCACGGCGCTTGTGCCAGGCTATGTGCACGTTGAGGCCACGTGAAGTGTCGAACGCCAGCTGGCAGGTCACGGGGCAGACCCAGGTGCCACGGGTCGGATGACTGGCCGATGACCACCTGTGCCCCCTACTGTGCCAACTTGTTGCTTTAGCCACCCGGCGCTCCGCTCATTGTTGTGAGCGTCGCTCCTCCGCCCTCGGTTGTTGTTGGAGGGCGACTGCCTCTAACTGTCCAGTAGCAGCGTCCTTCACGAGCCTCCTCCACAGAGGCCGATCTTGACACCGCTGGTACCAGGGACGTGTGGTCAGGGGAGGCAGGGGAGGCAGAGCCTCAGCTGTCATACTCCAATGAAAATAGCTGTTACGAAAAGTAAAAAAAAAGAATAAAATAAAATAAATATTAAGATTTTTCCATTGATCTGTGTTATAAATGTAATTTCTGTACGATTCCAATCATTTTTATCGTCAAAATCGCCAAATTTGCGGAGCTCCGCTGAAAATATTGGAAAAGACGAGAGGTGAGGCAGCGACGAGCTCAGCCTCCCCTCTGATTGCGCAACCCCTCAGTAACTGGATGGAGCGCGGGCAATAATCGCATGCCTGTTACTATCTCAGTATGTCACCAATGTAATGTTTGTAGACCCCTTCATTTCATGTCCTCGCCTATCATACTCCAGGTAACTTATTTCACGTACGTGTATAAAGATATTTTGGCTCGCTGATCTCGTCATTAAACTGCAATGAAAAAGCACCATGGGAGGCAGCTATCAGATCTGCCTCACCGAGGGGGGCGTGTCTAACACGCCCCCCTTAGTGAGGCCACGCCCCCTCCGTGAGGCCACGCCCCCCTCAGTGTGTGAATCTGGCTCTGACACTAGCCAGTGCCTCCCCAGCCATTGACCTCACCGCACGTCACTGGCTGGCACCAGTTATCGGCAAGTCTGCTCAGCTCCACATCCTCTTGTACCACATCACTCCATCTCTTCTCCAGCCCGTGCCGCGCCCGTTTAACCCCCTCACACACACAGGCGTGCAGGGCGTGACACTTTTGCAGGCGACGGGTGCGGACGGACTTCGGTGATAAAGAGAAAGATAATGAACTTCAGACGGATTATCGAGAATGGCCACACACTCTCACATACTCACACAAACAGCAAAGACAACGAGCCCCCTTATAGCCTCAACAGACGTTTGGGACAAGTGTTGTTAGCCAGCACAGGAAAACAAGGCGGTGGGTGGCGAGCACTTCGCCAGACCACCTTTGTCTACCTCGTGGGGACTTTTACGACATACTGCACCAGGTTACTTATCTAAGGCTGAGTTGACCTAGGGGAGGCCCGGGACCGGTTCGGATAATCGTCACTGGCGTTGGCCGTGAGCGAGAATCGAACTCGGGTAGTTGGGTTCCTGGCGCAGCGCGCTAACCGCTGCACAACCGCTCCCCAAAGATCATCTACTCACGTACTCAGACACACGATCATACGCACACACACACACCAGCTGTAGTGAGGGGCTTTCACAGCTGAGAAGCTGTGCGCAAGGATTCCGCACGCTGTAACTAATCCACACCCCACCACCACGCCTACTACGGGAAGGCAATTGATCCGATCGTTTCATTTCTTATGCTTGCGGAATTCGCTCAGCATCAAGGTAAGACTATCACGTTTTTGTTTGGCTATACACACACAGTATATATACTGACCAGCGTGGTGAGGTATGGCCAAACAAGCCCTGGGACCGACATGGCATTGTGGAGACCTTCATTCAGCAGTAGCTTGGCCATGGGCTGTATATTCTAATAAAACTGATTATTATTATTATTATTGAATAGTTGTCGACATAATAAACAAGGAGTGGAGCAGTGGCGCAGTGGTGAGCGCACCGCAACACAAACCCAATGGCCTGAGTTTCATTCCCGGTCATGGCTAACATCAGTGGCGATCGATATCTTCAATCGATCTTGCCCCCCCCTCCCCCACCATCACCAATCGGCACTGACTGTGGTGAAGTATGGTCCAATAATCCACACGTGGGCTGGGAGGACCTTTATCCAGAAGCGGATTGACAAAGCGCTGAAGGGTTTTATTGTTCACGTTATACGTGTACACGTGTGTGTGCTTAGCGGTGGGGTGTTGATCAAGAAACACACTGCGTCACACCCCCTACAGCTGACTTCGAATCCGAAAAGTGAACGTCGCCAAAGCGTCATTGTTTTATGCACCAGTTGGTAAACCTTCAGCCCTGCAATTTCTTGCTTAGGGCCTCCACTCGAGGACATTCTAGAGACCTATATTGTATTTGGCCTACTCCTCCACGCTGACCAGATGTCTTGGAGGAGGTGGGAGTAACCACGCTTGACCTCACCACACGCGACATGCCCATCAATTAACTGTGGTCTACCCGTTTATACAACTGATAATTGAACTGTCACGCCGGGAGATCGAGAGGAAGGAATTCCCCTAGGCCTGTGGACCTCCCCACTTAAAGCCGAGTAACATCACCTCGTGTCCGAGAAAGGCCCGTGGAAGATTTACATCACAGAACTATTACTGTGGTCCCTGCAGTTACCTTTCATGCACACTAGGGTGCGGTGCACATTCTCGCACGCTATGCTATACAGGTGTTCGTCACGTGGCATTCAATCCGAATATTTATTCGTCCTATGCTGAATTAAGTGAAAACAAATCATTTAATCAGATGGGTTGGGGTGCAGTCATTGATGACGACTGAGCTGAGACTCATCAGCTAAGTAGATTGGAGAAGCTAATTTAATCACGAGTGGCTGAAACCCGGATTCGAACCAACGTCGCAACAGGGAACGTCTATTATTCATAGCAAAACAATGAACAAGGGCAATTGCCCGAAACGTCAATACTTACATATATTTTTTTCCTCTTTAAGGCAGTGTTATTAACGAATGTTTTAAGTATTGTTAATAGGTAATATGATTTTGTTTTAAAGCTTTAGTGACTGCAGGGATTCATATTAATCTTTGTTTTTTTCGGTAAAGTCACTTAGAAATAAGAAAAATAAAATTACATGTGACTTTACCGAAAAAAACAAAGATTAATTCCTGCAGTCACGAAAGCACCAAATCGAGTTTGGGATTCATATTCTTAGTTATTTCGGTAAAGTCACGTAGAAGGGAAACAATAAAATAATAACTTTATTGGGAAACAATAAAATAATAACTTTATTGTTTTATTATTTTATTGTTTCCCTTCTACGTGACTTTACCAAAAGAACCAAGAATAGGTAATATGTATATTTGTCCCGTTGTAAATAGAAGAAAAAAACGCTTTGCCTAAGCGAAAATAGCCGATGCTAGCGTGCAGCCACTCGATGTCAACAGTCGCGATGTGGCGGTTATGGGTCATGTCTTCAATCATTGCTGAAACTTGGTGAGTCCACAGCGACAGGGTGCCAGAGGACGAGGCCTAAAACCCCGTTACGTGACTCGTACAACGTCGTTTCATCAAGGAGTACTGTCGTTTAAGTGACAGAGAGATTATTCCAATCTTTAGCACGGCCGACACCTGCTTGTAGGCTTGTAAGTTGACAACCCACACTTTTATTAAAATCACGGTCGCTGGCCACAAGCCAAAACGCAAAGCGGCCAGCAAACAACCAGCACAACTGAGCATGTAATAGATGAGAGTTAATACGTTCCTTGAATTGTGGCCTGAGGTGTGGTGAGTGGATTAGTGAGTGAGCGTGGTTATTGTGACCTGCAGTGTGGTGGTGATTGGAAACAGTGTGGCTGAGACGAAACAGTCAGACTGGTAAAACCGAGTCCTCAACACGGCTGGAGTTCATAACAACAACAGTAACCATGCTGTTAACATGCAAGCGGTACACATACATAGACAGCGGCCCCTCTCTCTGCGAACTACCGCTGTCTCCCCCCCTCCCCCAAGGGGTCAAGATGTGGGACTGCGTCCCCGACCCGTGGCATGAGGAGGCCCTGGGCAACGCGTGCACCCTGGCCACACGTGACTTCACTCTCATGCGCAGCGGGCGACTCCTCCGCGATGCCTCGTGCGCCTTGGACCATCGTCAGGGCGAGGTCGTCCTCGCCATCATCTGCTCCATCTTCCTGGCCACGCTGGTGCCTCCCTTGCTGCTCCTCAATCTCGGCGTGGCCGCCGTGAACCTGTGCGGTGGACGCCGCGCCCTCGCCGCCATCGGCGGGGGCGCCTCAACTCCTCCTCCTCCTCCTCCTGCTCCTCATCCCCGGAGCGCCGCGGCTCGCCAACCGTCCGCGGTGGACGTGTACGTGACGAGCGCCGCGCTGGCCAACGCCCTGCAGCTGAGCGTGGCTCTGGCGCACCTCACGGGGCTGACGCACGACGGGCCGGACGCGACGGACGGCGGTGCCTCCGAGCGCGACCCGCCCGTCGCGCACGGCTGCGCCGTGGCCTACGTCCTCTTCCACGTGTCGGCGCTGGCGAGCGCCTACTCGGTGACCCTGCTGGCCTTCGACGCGTACCTGGAGGCGGCGCTACCGGCGGGCTCGCGCCCGCCGCTCGTGGACGCGCGCAGCGCCCCGCACGTGTGCGCCTTCCTGTGGGGCGGCTCGTGCCTGGCCGCGTTCCCCGCCGCGCTGCAGATCGGCTGCTCCCGGCGCGGGCAGCTCGACTGCGTGGCGCTCGGCGTGCGGGAGCTCGCCGACGTCTCGCTCGTCGTCACGGGCTTCGTCGTGCCGGTCGCGGGGTCGTGCGTGAGCGCGTGGTGCGCCGCGCGTCTCCTGTCACGCGGCGGCGGCGGCGGCGGCATCGACATTAACATTGACCACGACGACCGGGAAGCGCAGAGAGGCGCGCTGCGCATGGCGCTCGTGGCGGTGCCCGTCCACTTCTCGCTGTGGGCCCCGTTCTACGCCACCGTCGGGGCCGGCGTGTTCGCCGCCGTGAGGAGGAGGCCCTCGTTCCGCCTGCTCAAGGCGCTGGCACAGATGCTCGCGTACGCGCCCCCGTGCGTGGCGCCGTGCGTGTACGCGCGCATGTGCCGTGGAGTGGCGGAGCGCGCAAGGCTCGTGAGGGCCGTGCTCGGGTCGCGGTGCGGGAGGCGACGCTACACCAGGCACTCGTCGCTGCCCCTGACAGAGGCCGTATAGGTGCGGGGGCGTGCGTGCGTGCGTGCGTGCGTGCGCGTGTGTGTATGTACGTACGTGTGTGTGTGTGTATTTGGCACCAGCGTCTGCCCCGTGACCTGCCAGCGGGCGTTCGACAGTTCACGTGGCCTCAACGTGCACATAGCCTGGCACAAGCGCCGTGGTGACGTCACCCCCACTTAGTGGCGATTGTTGTTGTGTGTGTTTGTATGCGCGCGCGTGTGTGTGTTCTGTGAGCGAGCGAAGCGCTGGGCAGCTAAAATGCAGCGAGTTGGCACAGGCTGGTCATCTCAGTCAGTCGACCCATGGCACCCGGGTCTGTCTCGTGACCACCTGCTTACCTGCTTAACAGGAAGCCTTCCACACGTGGCCTCAAAGTGCACCTAGCCTGGTGACGTCACCGCCACTTCGTGGCAACTGGCGGCTGTTATTGTCGTGTGTGTACGCTTGTACCGGTGTGTGTGGCGTAGTGGCGACCGCACTGTGCTAAGAACCCTGTTACCCGAGTTCGATTCCAGGCCACGTCTGAAAGTGCCGTGTGTTATCAGAACAGGGCGGGGACTATCCCTAGGTTGACCCAGCCATGAACGATTACCAATCGGGCGTGGCTGTGGCCACACCATTCCCCTCGTGCGCCGTGATGGCCTGCATAAGGGGTCTACAATAGCACTTGGCACACTAATCTGCCAAGGCCTCCGTGGGGGTTCTTTGTCTTTTGTGCGGCCGCTACAGGTGAATCATTGCTTCGCATGATCGTGGGAGGCAGCGGTGACTCATGGAGGTATTCATAATATCCTGATATTGTCTCGTGACCTCCCACCAGTGAGCCGTGGACACTTGACGTAGCTGCAAAGTGCACTTAGCTTGGACGCAAGCGCTGTGGTGATGTCACCGTCAATTAGCGGCTGTCGATAGTTGTCGTATAGGTGTGCGCATCTCTGTACGCGTGCGCAGGGTCCAACTGTGGCGCAGTGGGAAACAAAATGATGCGCGTGACTTTATTTTTCCTTCCCAGCCACGGTGCGATTGTGCGTCTGGATACAACCACGAACATTCCCGTTGCTGCGCTGTAACGCAATGTACATTTCAGAGGTTTGACAATGTATGTCGTTAAGTTATTGAATTAGTTCTGCTTCTGTGATCTTTATTAAACGATTGCTCAAAACCCACAGGGGAGGCAGCTGTCTCATTCCTCCGCGTCTTTTGATTTCGAGCGGAATTGCTGCTAGTGTCGGAAATGAGAAGAGTTCCCATTCGGTCTCGAATGGTTTGTTCATCAAGTGAAGTACCAATAATGACGACTAATTTAATTACAGCAGCTTTTGCTTCTGCATTAATGATTCATACTATTTATTGAATTATTCGCTTTAGACCAGACAAGTGGACACCTCGTAAGAACCGCTGACGAACGATGGACAACAAAACTTAGTCCAGAGCTGATCTCGAGAGAAGTCAAAGAAGCAGATTATTATTATTACATTTACTTTCTTACCCTGGGGAAAAAAAAGCCACACTGGTCGTATTAGCCATAACAGAGTTTTTTTGGATTTTAAGCTTTCGTGACTGCAGGAATCCATACTCTCTGGTTCTTTCGGTAAAGTCACCTAGATATAAAATAAAAATAAATCACGACGTTTCGATTGCAACACAAGCAACCATCATCAGGTGGGAAAACCACAGCAAGAAAATGTTTTTGCTGAAGTATTATTATTAATCTAAGTTTTCTTGTTGTTGTTGTTGTTTGACTTGCATCCCACTGGGATTTTTTTGCACACAGCGTTGGTGTACGGTGCTTTTTTTCAGGAATATTTTGCTGTTTTTTTTTCATGGATTTTCTGCTTGCACAGTCACACATAATCACTTTAAGATGTTTTTCTTGTTCGTGTTTTTGTTTGTTGTTTGCACCCGATTCAAGAGCCGAATGGCTCACAGGGCTATACCAAAATAAATCAACTGAAAACTGAAAATATATCCCCCTCCCTTACCCCTCCCCCCTCTCTTACCACGGCATCTCTCTCCCACTTCAGAAAAAACAATTATTGCTGTCGTTTTCCCACCTGATGATGATTGCTTGTGTTGCAATCGGAACGTCGTGATTTATTTTTATTTATACCTACGTGACTTTACCGAAAGAACCAGAGAGTATGGGTTTTTGGGTTAGATCGCGTAAATATATGTGTCCTTAAACCCGCCACCACCCGACACAGCCAATTAGTAAGGTTTGTCACGTAAACAGAACATGCCAATTCGTTACTAGTAAAGTACACCGGTGTGTTTGTGTGTTGTACTAGTTTACGTAACAAACCTTACTAATTGGCTGTGTCGGGTGTTGTCAGGTTTAACGACATTTATATTTACGCGATGTAACTCAATAACCTCTATTAAGAATATCGGTGGCGAAAGCCTACGTGTTAAACAGATTGTATTAGGTTTATTAGGTTTTATTTTGGCACAGGTAAAACCTTGTTGGGCAATAAATCCCCATTTTCGATGGGGACCTGATTACTCCGATAAGCACGGTTGGCAACGTACGGTGCGAAAAAAAACCCGCCACATTCTGTGCAAAACAAATGCGTAAACAAAAGAAAATAAATTGTGTGCCCAGTTAAATAAGGTCGTGCATCAACGTGGCACGCATTACAAGGCTAACAACGCATCGCACACGACAACAACAAACCGGGTCCTCCTGGAGAACCCGGAGGAAACCCCATTCAGAACAACAGGAGAACACACTAACTCCACAGGCAAGCAATGCCTCAATCGGTAATCGAACGAGGGCCTTGATGTGAGGCTGCAAGTGCTATCACTGCGCCACCACCGTGCCGCCCAGATCGCACGGCGAGACGGAGCCGCTAAGACACAGGGTCCAACTTTGCCAGCAGTGCGACGTTGCAGGCTACGATGTGGGCAGCAGCAGGCAGGCGCAGCAAAATCCACAGTGCTGTGCTTCTATGCCCCCACCCCCCCCCCCCCCCCCTGGGTTGACAAGAGGCCGGATCGCGTGAAAGCAAGAGTCTGTATCTGGACTGCAAGCGCAGCCCGATTGCGCAATTGCTGGCAACCGCTTTTCAGTGGCGGTCCACGCATGTGAGCGATTCACGACTCGGTTTGCGCAACTGATGGCTCAAGTGTTAACCCGGCTTCACACCGATTGAATTCGCTCATGTGGTTACCAATGGACTACACCAACTATTCACATCACTCATTTAACACGTGTCAGATTTCCCGACCAATACAATTCATAATAGATGTTTTTTTTTGTCAGATCACGTAAGTAAAAAATATGTGTCGCAAACCCTCCTCCCACCCGGCACAGCCAATTGATAACATTGTCACGTGAACAAACGGGCCAATGTATTATCGCATCGGGCGTTGGAGAGCAATCCACACACGTGTTACAAATGGGGTACAACATTTAACACATCAGTCAGTAGTACCCAATGGGAGTTAGAGCAACCATCCATCGCCCCCTTCTGCGAAATCTTAGCAAGAGCCTCAGTGAGGCTTTCCTGAGTAAACCAGCGTGATCAGTGCAGAGATTCTGCCAACAGGGGGCGATGTTTAGCCTCGGTCTCAATGCTAAGCGTAATAAAAGTCAATGTGCCCAGAATATTTATGTATTTAGGTGCCGTCCATAAATGACGTCACGCACCTGGTGGGGGTGGGGTCAGACATTTGTGACGATGTGTGACGAGGGGGGGGTGGGGTTTGAGAAATGTGACGTCACATCAAAATGCGCAACTTTAAATAAATATAGACAACTTGTTCTACTTAATTAAATAGACTTTTTGATAAATGTTTTCTCCTACAACATTAGAGTGCAGCGGCACGTTAAATACGCACTACAATGACAATAGGTTAAAGCGATTTGAAGCTTTTTTTGGGGGGGGGAGTGGGGGGACAGAGCTTTGTGACATCATATTTGAGGGGGGTCTGACTTCTTGTGACGCCGTGTGACGAGGGGGGGGGGGGGGGTAAAAAATCGTCCAAAATCGCGTGACATCATTTATGGACGGCCCCTTATGTATGGATGTGTAATTTCTTTCGCACCGTACGTAGCCAACCGTGCTAATCGGAGGCGCGGGTATTTTCTTGGTACCGCTTTAGGATAACACGCGATGTCTCGATGTATATGGCCAATGAGAGCGAGTTACTGTATTTGATTACCACCCTTTCGTTTTAAATGATGATCACATTTTCCACTGACTGGTATTGGCCACAGCGAGATGTTAGAACGTGGTACCGTCTACGGCAGGGGTCGATAACCAAAATAACATAGCGAGCCTATATATTTTTTTTACAAATTCTGTATTAAAAAAAAACCCCTCTATTTCAAGAGCCACAATGCACGCGAATAACGCCAAGAAGTGGTCCTTATAGAGCCACATGCGGCTCCGCAGGCTTGCCAACCCCTGGGTCTCGGCTCATGGACTGTTTGCGCGTGCTGCGACATCATCGTTCAAGCTACGATATCAAATTTCACGATATGACGATTATCGCGATATCAGTTTATCTCTTTTCCTAGTACGAAAAGAGGAAATGACCATCATCATCACGGGGGGGGGGGAGAATATAAGTTGTGAAGCAGATAAGCGGCATATACGTACTGTACCTCTATCTTCATATATATCTGTTCCTACACATTCCAAAATAAAATAAAAAATATTGTATTCACTTCCCATCAACCACATGGCCTTCCGCGAGTGAATAATGTCAGCTGCATTGATTGAGTACAAGCAACATTCTTGGACCGATTTCGACAATCCTTGCCTCATCAGCAGAGTCAGGCTCGCGTTGAACCAATGGCGGCCAACTGCCCGATGTAATAGGCAAGAGGGGACAGATATCTGCAGGAGGAATATTCTACTGCGGTTCGCTCAACGGAGTCTGAGAAATCTTTATAAAATAAATACATGTCCGATGATCGTTATGACGTCATAAAGCCCATGCCCTCAAATGCTGGACTCCGAAATGCGTTTTACGAAGCGCTCAATTCGTAGACAATAGCTATATATTCCATCCGCAACTTAAAAAAATGTCGACTTTGTTCATGCATAATGTCAGAAAA